TATATATTTTTTTTTTTTTTATATAAAATAAAACAGTAGATTATTCATCTAATGGACTATAGATCTTCCATCCCAGAACATGATCTAAAACAAAGAGAATAGAAAAAACGAGGAACAAGAAAATACCTATACATTATAAAGGTTCTTCACATAAAAAAAAAAAAAAAAACCTCTTCACTGAAAGCTTTTTTGGGGAACTCAAGATGGTTCTTCTAGCATTGCTGCTCAACCCTCCTTTTGGAACCTTTATGTCGAATGTATTACTCATTGAGATACTGAGTGAAATACTCACTGCCTTAATGCTAAAACGTTTGGTGTGGTTCCTTAATGGACCAAAAATCAAGTAAAAAATCTTCGGTCTCTAGATATGATGTATTTTTAATTAATAACATTAACAAACATTGTTACATTCTGCTATACCATTAATCGAAATATAGTTTTTTTGGGGGGGATTTTCAGTGCATGGGTACAATCAAGTAAACTATATCACTCTCTGTTTTACACGGTAAAGTCTAGGAAAAAATCCCATCTGTCTAGCCATCTCATTCTAGTGTGAAGATTGCTCATCAAAAATAATTGTGCCTCTGAAATACTTGAGGAATCGACTGAACGCATCAATAGCTTTGTGTTTGTCTGTCCTCTCCCTGGACCTCTTTGTTAGTTCACTGAGTTTCTTGGAAAACACTCAGCTGTAAACAGCATGCGAAGATATCAAGCATAAAGGCAGATCTTTTTTCCAACCTTATAGTGTCTTATCAGCTGAATTTCATATCATTTGCTCTCAGATGTAGCTTATGTTAGTCTTAGCAGCTGCAGCCAAAGTTTTTCAGGAGATTACGGACTAATACTTTAAAACACTTACGATAAAGTTAAAGTTTCGACCTCGCTGTCCTTGCCAAGGCAAAACTAATCAAAGAACTTTACCTTTGGAAGGTATATTACAACTCTCCGATAACACTGACAAAGACATAAAAGGCTCATTTGTGCTGTGGCCTGAAACTGTCACTTGATTCTTGCTGACTTTTGTGCTTGGGCTAAATGAACTTGAAAATCCTTCTAATTGAATGGCTATCAAATCCTTCTTTGAAACCGATGGAAAGCTTGACCCCCATTTACTAAGAGTCAGTCAAGTCCAATGAGAAGGCTTGTGGTAAGCCCTAGGATTTGAGTTATTAACCCAGGCAATGTATTTGTGGGCGCTGTCCAAGGTACTGTCATTAACCTTATGTTCTGCTGGATGAAGCACAGCATCTGACTTGCCTTAGAATTGAATATTGAAGCTACTCTATATTAAAACCACAAGCAATTTAAATATGTATAATTGTGTGCATAGAATGTTTACTTTCGATTGACAAAATGTAGGCTACCTAAAGTATTGTTTTTTTTTGTTTGTTTTTTTTTGGTCATGTACCATGTATGATACTATATAATTACTATTGGTTAAATATGCTAATCATTCAAGACCACGGTATATGCCAAAGTACTGTGGTATTACCATCCGATAATATGACTCTACTGTACTCTTCATGTTTTTTTAATTATATTAAGTTAATTTTGATTTTTTTAAAATGAAAATGGTTAATTTTACAAATTATGAATATACAGTTTTAAAGATTTTCACATTGAAATACAGTGACAGGGTGATTGCAGGGAACCAGGTTTCTATGCTCTCATACTGACGCTCATTCACAGCCCTAAATAATCTGTTCCAGCAGATGGCCTCATTGAGCCATTCCATATGCAAAAGCCTGCTAAGCCACGTTTCTTAAAATAACCTGTTCTGCTCTGTTTTTAAGGTTATTTAATTGGAATTGCATCCCATGTTCTGAAAGCATATGCTGTATTGGTCATTAAGCTGTATTGATGAATATCCATTAAAAAAAAGAAAAGGTGCATGTGTAATTATTTTGCAACTAGGAGAAATGCAATGTCCATGATGAATATTTTATTAACCGTCTTGTGAGGGGTTTTGATGTGGTCACCTCCTCCAAAGGTACTTGCGTATGGCAAGCCATGATAATGTTTACTTCTTCAGAATAACTACTATTGTGTTACTGGCCTATTTTTTTAATCACTTGTTAGTTTTATTGACTAGCATCTTTTTTTATTTTTATTTCAATAGCAAGTATTCATTAAATACTAGCATTTAATTATTTTGCTACTGCTAGATAATAGTACCTAATTATGAGACACTAATATTTATCACAATTGCCCTCACAATTGCTTTTTTTTTTACTTGTCATGTATTACAGTCAGAATGTTTACTTTATGAATAGAACTACTTAAATAGTTACAAGTAACTAAAAACGATCACTATGCAAGCTACAATAAAACAGGAATAAGTATGAGTAACAGCTGGAATCTGAAGTGAATATCTGATATCTGAACCACAGATCACCAAAGAATTCAATGACAAAAAAATAAAATAAAATAAAAAATGTGACCAGTTGCAAAAAAATACAAATTATTACTTAATGAAAAAGAACTTGACTAAATTATCAGATACTAATCACTATGGAATAAGTGCTGGTATCTAATGAATAGTTGCTAGTGAAATGAAATTGGAAAACGATACTATTTGATTTCTTACTAGTGTTTAAAAAGAAGTACTAGTAACATGAAATTAGTTTGAAGGAATACATGTTATGATGGCTTGCCATAACTCCAGACCTGTCAGAGCTTCTCAGAGCAAGCCCAGCACAGAAGACTGCAAGCCTTAAGAAAAACTCAAGGAAACTATTGCACTGACAAAAACAAACCCAATGATGCTCAAGACTATTTGCATCAGACAATACATGCAATTTTAACGGCGCAGACATTGAAATCAATAGATACTTTCAAGATTAATATTTATTTATTTATTTATTTTTTATTCATTGTAAAGTTGACATTGCTCGAATGTTGGTAATGCACATGTGATGCTGCGCGACAGTACGAGAGAGTATGAGCTGTAATTGCACATGATGTGCATGGGACGACAACAGCCTTTCCTTACAGGACCCATGCAAACGCTTTAAAATCACTTTTAAGGAAAACTAAAGGAAGGAAGACGTGTTTCTTCACGCGCAAATGGATCGGGGACAATTCGGACGCTTGAAACGTGAGAAGTGCGCCAAATTGCGACTATGACTTTACTGTTGAGTCTGGTGCGTTTGCAGCGTATGATCAGTAGAATCGAGATGCGCTGAACGCAACACAATACAGGAACGCAACGCAAAGAGGAATTAAATACTTTGTTTGTTGTCGGTTAAGTGAAGCCTTTTGGCAAGGAGCGGAGAAATCTTGTTGGACAGAAACGATGTGAAATGCGCACCGCTTTGCTGTTTCTCAAACGAACTGTCACCCTTTCTCTCTCTGGAACAGAGTCTGCATTGGGAACAACATGACACGGACGCACTTTTGCTGTCATTAACGGGGACAAATCAGACCACCGTAGCGGCAATCCGATCAATAGCCTATGGATAGGCTCATATATAAGGCTAATCATCACGCATGCATATGCTTGCTTAACCTGTTTGGGAGAGTATGCTGTGGGACGATGAACAAACTGCTGACAAGGTATTGAAAGCAGAAACAGTCTTAATTAGACACTAATCTGTTTATAAGTGAGATCAAGTGATTATTAGGCTAAATGTATGCCTTTTTTTCTTCTTTTAGTCATATTATGTTCATTGGGAAGATCTGTGGGAGTTCATGGATCTATTTTTGAGCTCCTCAAAAGATTTTTACATTGAAATTATGATATGTGTTTTGCAAGATGACTGCTACAGTCAGCATAGCGTCAGGCAAACCAGATCAACTAGTTGCTCTGATTCCTGTGTAAGCACTCTCGGTTTGGTGTGGAATTATGGGGTGACTGCTCATTCGACTCGATGAAAAAGCCATGGATGTGAACTACTCCACGGTCCTGGACAGCAGTGTGTCACAGCGCGATTCGTCGAAGCGAGTTCTGACTGGTTGTTTCCTCTCGCTCCTCATCCTGACCACGCTACTGGGCAACACTTTGGTCTGCGCTGCTGTTACAAAGTTCCGCCACCTGCGCTCAAAAGTCACCAACTTCTTTGTTATATCGCTTGCTATTTCTGACTTGCTGGTGGCCATTTTGGTGATGCCATGGAAAGCGGCCACCGAGATTGTAGGGTTTTGGCCGTTTGGCGCCTTCTGCGATGTCTGGGTGGCCTTTGACATCATGTGTTCCACCGCCTCCATCTTGAATCTGTGCGTCATCAGTGTGGACCGCTACTGGGCCATTTCTAGCCCATTCCGCTACGAGCGCAAGATGACGCCCAAGGTGGCGTTCATCATGATAAGTGTGGCGTGGACACTGTCCATCCTTATCTCCTTCATCCCCGTGCAGCTAAACTGGCACAAAGCCCAGGTGACCAGTTACACGGAGCTGAACGGCACCTACGGCGAGCTTCCCCCAGACAACTGCGACTCCAGCCTTAATCGGACATATGCCATCTCTTCTTCCCTGATCAGTTTTTACATTCCTGTGGCCATTATGTTGGTCACTTACACCCGCATCTACCGCATTGCCCAGAAGCAGATACGCCGGATCTCGGCACTCGAAAGAGCGGCTGAAAGCGCCAAGAACCGCCACAGTAGCATGGGTAACAATGCGAGTATGGAGTCTGAAAGTTCCTTCAAGATGTCCTTCAAGCGTGAAACCAAAGTCCTCAAGACCCTCTCGGTCATCATGGGCGTTTTTGTATGCTGCTGGCTGCCCTTCTTTGTCTTGAACTGCATGGTTCCTTTCTGTAACCCGAACGAGAGCTCTGACTTCTTCTGCATCAGTTCCACCACCTTCGATGTCTTTGTCTGGTTCGGTTGGGCCAACTCCTCACTCAACCCCATCATCTATGCCTTCAATGCTGACTTCCGAAAGGCATTCTCCATCCTGCTGGGCTGCCATCGACTCTGCCCCGGCAGCAACACTATAGAGATTGTGAGTATCAACAACAACGGTGGCCCTCCGTCTACTTCTCAGTATCAGCCTAAGGGCCACATCCCCAAGGAGGGCAACAACAGCAACTATGTGATCCCTCACAGTATCCTCTGCCAGGAGGAGGAGAACCAGAAGAGAGAGGATGACTCTGGTATAAAGACCTTTGAGAAACTGTCGCCTTCCATGTCAGGCAATTTGGATAGCGATGCGGATGTCTCGCTAGAAAAGATAAACCCCATAACACAAAACGGGCAGCACAAATCCATAACCTGCTGAGCATTGGGTGAGATCTGACCCCAACAAAGAATCCTTGTTTCTATAATGTACGGAATCCAAAAAAGCTTCACTGAGGACCTTAAAAACATTTCTTGGACTAAATGAAACTTGCAGAAAACAAAAGAATGTTCCAATTGAAGGCACTTTATGGTGGATAACTATCTGCAAAATATTCGCAGCATGTATTACTGATGTTACCAGGTCAGTTGTGGCAAGACATACATGGAAAGTAATGTGAATAAACCATGTATGCATATGTATACATGTTATGCATTGGTTGTGGTAGAACTGCTGTTGTTAATATAAGGACAAGAGTTAGATCACTAGTAAAATATCTTGTAGATGGGTTTATTTAAACGGCTTACGAGTAGAGAAATTCGGTTGCGTCTACTGTCGACAATAAAATGTACATAGTGTTGTTTATATTTTTTCACCATTTATCAGAGTTGGCTAAGTCAGCATCTCCTTACGCTGCTAGTTGTGAAATTGTATGTGCAAACCACCCCATAATTGAGAGCCGTAGCTATTCTCATCCTAGTCTTCTATGTGTGTACTGGTGTGATGTCAAAAGGAGGAGGAGCAGTGGATTTTTCTGCTATGTGATTTATCAGCTGTGGAAGTGGCCATAATATTTGGATGTAATTTTTAGTATTTTGATGTCAAAGACCCCTTCCTTACCCAACCCAACCCTCTTCCTCACCACCAACCCTTCACTTGTCACAGCGGAGGACAGCACAGGGAAAATACGATCCCAGTGGTAATTTCATCGGTCGCTACCTACACTTCGATTGTCATTATTCTCATGCTTTAAAAGGGAATTTTTTTTTATTTTAAACCCTGTGCACAAGAGATCTGCCGGGTGTACTTTTATCCATCACAGTGTATTTAAATGACAGAAGAAGCCTCATGTGGATCCTAGTTCTGCTTTTCCTCTATGATTCCATCCATTCTAAACGTACAAACGTAGTTTCAGGCACCATGACTGCCTTTAAACAGTTTCTTTTGCCAACTATGTGGATGAACTTTGCTCTAGGACAGTGTGAAAAAATGTAATTACTGTAACTTGTGCAACGCATCTGTCCAGCTACCCAGAAAGATGTTGTCCTTTCTGAAAAACACCATAAGAAGCACTCTGTAGGTCATTCTAGAGCCTCAAAGCATATCCAGGATGAAAACCATCTTGCATCATGCATATAGTTATTGTGCAGAATCCAGCCCTTGAACTGTTGAGTCAGCTGTCAGATGGGTCGGTGTATTTAACCATTTTAAATTGTTTCTCTCTGGCCAAACATAATCTGTGGCGTATAAACTGCTGTCCTAGTTTTAATAATTTGTTGAGCTGTTTTGTTGGGTTATGCAACTGCCCGTGATCTAAGTTAATTCCAGGGCCTACCATCCAATGAGCGCTTCCTATGAACATCGGGATTTGACCGAACTGATACGCTTGAGCTTGTTCTCAGAGTGCATTAGGGAAAAAAAAATGCAAGCAAGATGCAAACCGCAACAAAATGACTACTGTAAATCAATCAAGGTAGCTTTTAGATCACTTTGCCCCTTTTTAGCTGATCGTATAAACCTATTTAGTTCACACTGACTCTCATTACTCACATAGTTCACACTGACTCTAAAGAGAAAGTCTCTCATATTTTGCCTTCAGTCATACCCTGTGCCAAAATGCTGAGGACATCATGATCAGCAGCCTTTGCCAGCTTCCTTCTCACTTAGCCTAATATTCTCCTTCTCTCTAAAAGCTTGACAGAATGAACTACAACCGCTCTGTATGTTTGACTCCAAACTAATTGAATGGAGTAAATATGTACGTGCGACTTGGACAACTTGGAGAGAGAGACTAGATGAACAGAGACTTCAGTACACATATTTGTCTAAAATTGGACATCTGCTCCAGGGAATTTTCCAAAAGACTCTGTTTACTCATCTGCCTGTCAAAGACCCGTTCTTCACAATGCTGCTATGGAAATATTCAGCTATATGTTTTATTTAGTTCCAGAAACTTCGTCTTAAATACCTCCACGTTTTAAATAATGCTAATATTTAACATATTTGCTAACATTTAAGATGGTTGGTTTTAGCAGCATTCAGTTAAGCAACATCAGATTTATTCTCTCCAATGAGGTGATTAGCATTTAAAATGAACCTCCGTGACATTCTGAAAAGTCCCAGGTGCTTCTTTTACTGCAAATGCTAAGGTATTCCCAGAAACGCTGGGGAATCATGGGTGGTCCTTTAATTAGAAGTGAATAAAATAACAGTGAGCCAAGTTTTTTTTTTTTTACCAAAGATTGCAAGTTTATCTTTTGATTTTGCAGGTGTTGTTCTATGTACTTGCACATGATGTGATGTCAGGTTGAGAGCTGTCATGTTCTGTTCCTTTCGGAGGAGGTTGAAAATGACAACTGGTGACAATGGCAAGAGCTTATGATACTGTGTGAGTGGCAGCACAGCCCCCTTGGATCATAACTTTATCAGCTGCATTGTACAACTATTTATGGACATTCATTCCAAGATGATACAACCTTAACCTCAGATGCTCACTGAATTAGCGCATTGTAACATAAACAGACCAACTGTTGTAAGATGTTAAAATAGAGATGTGAAAACAAGTACTTTTTATCTTTAAGTCCTTAATCGTGAGTAGAGAAAACAAATGTATGTGTTGTTTTCATGTGGGTTTGTCATGCAGTTAAAGCACTGTACCGGTTTCCGTGATTCCATCAAGTAGGATGTGTTCCTGGATTAACATGTTTTATTTGTCCTGGAACAACATTCTTGTCCTGTCGTTAACATGAACTACCCCAAAAACCGGACAGAAATAATCGGTTGATAATGTTTTTGAAGCCCCAACCCCAGCCGTGAAGGAATATTCTGGGTTCAGTACAAGTTCAAACAACCACATAAAATAATTGTAATCATTTGTAGAGTAATTGTAGGGTTTATGGTATTGTTGTGATGACAAAACTGTACATTTGGATATAATTTTACATAGAAAATGTTAGTAGATGTACACTAAAATCATGCTAACATACATAGTGTGGCTATATTTATAGATTGTCCCCATTCACTTCCATTGTAACCCAAAGTTTGACTTTTTGAAAGAAGAGGGATGAGTGGAAATTCATTTTTGTGGTAATCAGCATTATGTTGACTGAGCTTAACTTGTACTGAACCAGGAATATTCCTATTGCTTACCCCAAACTTAACCTAAAAATTGGATTGGTTGAAAAGAAAGGATGCAGATCCAGGAACATGTTCTACTTGGAAAAATCATGGTCACTGTGCAGGTTCATATGTGTGCTGCAGTTCTTCAAGGTATACCCAACAAATTTATTTCAGTACCTAGTTTACAGTTTGTATAAAACGGCCCCTTTCTATTTGCTAAATAAAAGTGTATGTTGATTTTGTAATCTTGTTTGCTGTATATTTTCAATTGTCTTCACTATATGAGATGCCATGGAATCTGTTATGAGGTATGACACCGCCAATTCTTTATTTAAAGGTTAACTGTTTGCGGAAAATCAATCGTTATTGATTACACCATCAATGACACACTTTTGTCAGATATAAGTGTGTCCTTAATTGGGTAATTTACATAACTTTTTGTATTGAGAAGGAATATTCAGCTCCTTTGACTGATTACACTTTTTATAACCTTTATTGTCATTCTGTGGCCTGAAGGCTTGTACGAGGTATGAGGAGTGCTGTGACATGTCATAGGGCCCCTGGAGTAAACTGGAGTTAAGTGTTTTATCCGAAGGCAAAATAGTATGGTCAGAGGGGAGACTGCAATGTTTGTATCAGTAACTCAAGGGCAAGAATTAGCTCTGACTAGTGATGGGAAGTCCGGTTCTTTTCCGCGAACCGGTTCTTTCGGACAGTTCGTTTCAATGAACCGGTTAAAAAAACGGTTAAATCGAACGATTCGTTCGCGAACCGGACATCACTAGCTCTGACTCCCATGCTGACCCACCTGGATATGAATCAATGACTTGGGTTCATCCAAAAGTTAATAAAAAATGAATTCTAGCATTATTTAAAACCTGTCCCAAACCTGAACGACTTGCTTTCTGACTTGCGTTTTTGGGTGAACTATCCCTTTAATACTCTTTGTCTGGATTCTACCACCCGTTTTTTGAGCATTCTGTGATCAGACTCTCTGAACAGGATGCCAGCAGAATTTGAACCATGAAGTGTTATTTTACCCTGAAAGTTGGCAAAAAAGGTTTCAGTCCATATTATGCTGTACGCAGGAGTTCAGCTTTAGTGACAATATCTGTCGAAGGACAAAATAAATGAGGAGAAGATGTCAATAAATATTACAATCAAAACATTACATGTGGATGGGATTAGATTTCTCAGAGGATCCCAGAGTTCAGAACATAGAACAGTTGGTAATGTGCTTCATTATTTATACTGAGATTGTGTGAGAAAAACACAAGATGTGTTCAATTCAGATGAGATTAAAATCATAAAGTAAGTCTGGGAAAAACACCAATTTACCTGACCTCCTCAGGGAAGAGTAATCCTGTCTGAATAGGACCATTTCAGAAATTACATACTAACAAAAATGTTATCTTGGGAAAGTTTGGAAAATGAAATGAAAATTTCAAAAATGAAAATTGATGCTCATCCTTGTAGAAATGTAGAAGTATATTCAGGCGACACTTTTTCATGCATCCAAAGTGACTGGTTTATATTTGGTTTATTTATATTATGATTTATTTATATTATTATACGTTATTTATATTCTCCAAAAAGGACAAAAAAGTTACACTAAAAGTAGTCCATATATGACTTGTATACCATTGTGTACTAAGTCTTCTGAAGCCATACAATACTTAAAGGTGCAATAGTTGATTGTCTTCAGAAACATTTTTTGTTATGCTGGATGAAAGTCTCTTCACATCCCGATAGCAATCATTAAGTTAAGTGGTCTAAATGTATTTATCTGTATTTATATATTCTGTGGCTGTGAGTGTAAATGCGTTTAGGGGGCGTGGCTTTGGACGACGATTGCAGGGAGGGTGAGACGTTCGCTTTCAGTGCTATCAGGCTAAAGTTATCCAAGATCTCCTATTGCACCTTTAAGCTTTAATGGTTAAGTAAAACAGTCTACTTCAGTTGCAAAGAAAAGAGCAGCCAGTGCATTCTGCTAAATATCTTAATTTTTATTCCTCAGTCGAAGAGAAGGTGACAAAATTAATTGAAGACTTTTCCAATTCTGTACGAAATCCTTTATTAATGATGGACACAAATGCATTCTCTCCATTATTTATTCAGCAAAAAATGTTCCCTAACAAATGTTAATCCCTGATTTCATATCCCTTACAACGCTATATTAAGCTTTGTATATAGACTATATATTTAGGTTTGTTAGGATAGTATAGGTCTGTTACTAGCTGCTGTTTTAGTGCTGGGGCAACACTTTGGCCATGTTCCCCCAGTCCTAGCAGTTTTACACATTTATTTATTTTCATTTATTGATTTAGCAGAGGCTTTTGGCCAAAGTGACTTACAAATGAGAACAATACAAAAAGTAATTAATCCAATAGGGAGAAAATAGTATAAGCAGTCCTTCCACACTATATTTAGTACAACATTAGAGCAGTGTACGTGTAAGTATTTATTTATTTATTTATTTTTTGCTAAAAAAGGCTTGTTAGTTGACTGGGGAAATACTTTTAATTATTTGTAATACTTATACAGTAATAGTATAGGCAATTAACATGGATTCTTTCATGATATATATATATATATATATATATATATATACTGTATATATATATATATATATACATACATATATGTGTGTATATATATATACAGTATATATACAAATACAAGAGATACTAATGCAGACGCAGATAATTGTTGAGATTCTACAGCATGATGCTGTTACATCACAGTCATTTCATGCTCTCATTCACCATGACGTCACAGTATACAGCTGACATTTGTAGTTGCAATACATTTAAATAGTAAAATAAACAAATAATATAAAAATTACTGTGAAAGTACAGTAACTACAAGCCAAGGACTATACTGTGTATTCTCATTTTTGATTAGGTCGATTTTGTATACTAGATTAATTAAAAGCATAAAAGCACAACCATGTGGATCAATCATGAATGAGTACATTTTTGGCACTTATTTCATTGTCCTGCAATTTTGGCAGGTTGCTCCAAATGCTTATTTTACTCAGAGAACAGTGCATTTTTCACAACAGCTGAATGAGTCAAAGCCAGTGCATATAGAGGTTGCCTGTAAGGCATTTTGGTTTGGCTCCTATTTTAATCCATAAGGCGTTGCAGTGCTGGCCATTCAAGTGTAAAATACAGTATCATGAATAGTCAAATGCATTGCTCTCCATCGGTGCCAGTTTGAGAATATGATGAGTAATAATAACCACGGACCCAGCACACACCCCTGAGGGCTCTCAACTGTAGATATCTGACCCATTCTTTATTTCTGAGTGGAGCCAACATACAAACCCATCAACATGCACCAGAGTTCATAAGGTCCCGTTTGGAAAAACACATAGTCAAGGTTAATGACAGGCCTGGGGCAATGCTCATTGTGGTGGAAAAGGGATGTCTATGAGCCGTTGTAATGTTCTTATGTAACTGGCACTCGGGCCTCGATTTCACCACTGAATGCAGTTTCGGAACCAGTGCTTGCAGAGTGTTCACTAAAAATATAACTTATG